GGGAAGTTTATACCATATCTAGAAGCTAGCGACGCCGAGGCGCTCGCATATACCTTCATTCGAGTCATATTAGCCGATCATGGGATGCCAGAAGAAATCATCTCAGATAGAGACAAGCTCTTTACTTCGAAATTCTGGAAATCATTGATGGCGCTACTGGGAACAAATCATAAGCTATCAACAGCTTTTCATCCCCAGACAGACGGCCAAACAGAAAGATTAAATCAGACCCTTGAACAGTACCTGCGAAGCTATGTCAATCATCAACAGGACAACTGGGTTCAGATCTTACCCATCGCACAGTTTGCATATAACAGCGCGATGACAGAAGCAACGAAAGTCTCACCGTTCTTTGCCAATTATGGCTACCAGCCAGAAGCATATAGGCAACCAAGACCGGATGAATCACGAGCTGAACAAGCCCTGATCGTGGTGGAACAACTGAAATCGTTCCACGAACAACTTGCGACGGACATCCAATTCTTAAATGAACGATCCGCCGCATACGCAAACAAGAAGCGCAGTATGGAACCTGCCTTCAAGGAGGGGGATAAAGTATACCTACTCCGGAAACATATCAAAACGAAACGACCAAGCACAAAGTTGGACTTCAAGAAATTGGGACCATTCAAAATATTGAACAAAGTCAGCTCAGTTAATTACAGACTGCAGCTACCCAGGAAGTCTAGACTACACCCGGTATTTCATGTCTCACTACTGGAACCAGCAAGAGGAAATACCCCAGTTGCGACCGACACCGAACTCCAACCCGAGAATGAGATAATCGAATATGAGGTCGAAGCCATCCTAGACAGAAGGTTAGTAGGACGTCGAGAAGAGTTTTTGATAAAATGGGAAAATTACGAACCTACGGATAATTCGTGGGAACCAACAAGGAACATCAGCAAAGAACTGCTGGAGGAATATCGACGCCGCCATCCGCCAGCCATTGATCCCAAGATGCAGGGGAGTAGGCCAGTGGATCGGAGGAAGCGAGGGTCCCGGTCACAGACGAGGAGGCAGCGCTAACTGCCTGTTCCTCAGCCTCAACAGCATCACGCTTCTCAGCAGCCACACGTTCGGCCTCCTCTGCCGCATCAAGCTCGTCGAGGGTTTTCAAACCTCGCCGGAGCATATCTTTACCACGGGTTCGGATGAGGCGTTTCTGCTTCCGCAGACGAAGTAACTTCGAAAGGGTTTCTTCCTCTTCGCGATCCAGGCGATCCTCCTCCCGTTCGAGCTTCACCCAGTCAGGATGCTCAGGACCCATACAGTCACACTTTTCTTTCAAGTTGCGACGAACGCACTCGGCGCACCGCCGTGAATCATTTGGAGACGACACGCAAGTAATGTTTCGCCTCACGCAGTTCGAGCAAGAATCCATTTCGGGTAGTTCGTATCCGTGGTTCTTTATTCGACGGACAAGATCGTTGCGTTCCTGGAGTTTGCGGGCAGTGTCAGTAGGCATGTTGCATGTTGAAGGACTCGCTGAGGAGCAGCAGAGTCCCGGGGACATGGACGTACTTATAGGATTCGAGACGAATGCCCAGGGGAAGGGAGCGAGTGTTACGACGGAACAAGAAGGCTGGCCAACTACAGGACAGGAAGGAGGGAGGTCGCATGAGACCGGCCCTGGTACCTGGAGGGGCAGCGGGGAATAGTAGTTCCGAAAGTATCACGTGACGGACTCGCAGGATGATGAGAAGAGTCCTAAGAGTCCAGGACTCCGAGGACTCGAGTGAGTTCCCAAGAGTCCACTAGGCACGTGATGGACTCGCAGGATGATGAGAAGAGTCCTAAGAGTCCAGGACTCCGAGGACTCGAGTGAGTTCCCAAGAGTCCACTAGGCACGACGCCACTATATAAGTAGATAGTATTTCCTTAGATAGGAGCTTCGTGCTCAACTCAATACAGTATTTGTTATATACTAGTAACGTGTTACTTGAAGCCTTTGTGTCTGATCCCCTGCCTCCTCTGATAAGTAAACCCTTACGCAAGAGAACCTCTGTGTCTTCTATCGTTTAGAAGTCAGCGTTACAATAATCATCTCAAGCGCTACAGCCTCTTCAATTATCCTAAGTGCAATCCACTCACCATGTCCCTTGTCATCTTTCTGTGACAGTACCCCTGAGGAAATAAAATCTGAGGCATCAGTGTAATGCTGACTTCTGTCATACTGACATTCGTTGCATTTGCTATCAAACTCAAGAGCAAACTTGGAAATCTCCTCCTCAAACCTACAAGTCACTATACATATTTTGGCTTATCACACCAACAACAAGAGCAATACTACTCAACGATTGCTACAACCATCTATGATTCATTACACGTCATCGCTCCTTAGTTACTGGGCCGATATTACCACATAGCATATCTCTACAACCCTCTATGATTCATTACATGACATCACTCATACTACCACATGACATATCTCTACCAACTAGAGGCCTAGGAGCATGAACGATAGCTCTAAAAGCTCCTACGAACCTCTATGATTCATTACATGTCATCGCTCTTTAGTTACCCACAAGATTGGTTAAGTTATGACATAATTTGTCTATGACATAATTTGTCTATGACATAATTTGTTTATAGGGGTACTCTGACCTTGGACCTCCTTTTACTTCCTATAGGCTACAAACCTAAGAGATGGTTCTATGGGATTCTCTTACGTCAACTACAGTTACCAATCCTGGTTAGTCATGGAAAGTCTTGGAAAATGAGAGAACTACACTCCTTTAGCATAAATAGGATTGCCCTTTCCTTAAGAAAGGGCAAGCAGACAATACAGTAAATCGACTATCACATACTTCCACCTTTTTTCCAAGCTTCCAAGCATTGATCTTGTTACTCCTTGTTTCTGAAAAGTCAGTGAGGTGCTAACCTCTGACTTATCCCTGAGTTCTCAGACTCAACATTTGTTACAACTTGTCTAAACCACTCCACTATATCATACACCTGATTGCTGCGTTGTGGAATAGTCTAAGCTACGACCCTTTGGCTCTTTTTCTAAGACAGTGTGTTGTCTTAGTAAAATCATCCCTTCCTTGGGTGGCTAGATTCTCACATCTGGTGCACCCACCATTACATAGAACTAATCTAGCTTCACCATGTTGAACTTAATTAAGAATCTTATGATGTTGTTGAAACCTTATGACCTATCCTAAGCTAAACTCTACGCCTAGATCTGCTTTGCCTTCTCTTGCAAAATATAACCTATTATAACCTATCCTCTTTGTTCAATGAGCTTCTGCTAGTTAAAAAAGATAGCTTCTAGCTATAGCTAAGCTTCATTATGTCATCGTTGTAAGCTTCTTAATCGTCTGCTTATAAGGTGTCATTAAGGTAGGCAAATTGAGTGCTAAGAGATTTAGAGACAGTAGTGTAATGGTGGGTGCACCAGATGTGAGAATCTAGCCACCCAAGGAAAGGATGAATTTACTAAGATAACACACTGTCTTAGAAAAAGAGCCAAAGGGTCGTAGCTTAGACTATTCCACAACGCAGCAATCAGGTGTATGATATAGTGGAGTGGTTTAGACAAGTTGTAACAAATGTTGAGTCTGAGAACTCAGGGATAAGTCACAGGTTAGCACCTCACTGACTTTTCAGAAACAAGGAGTAACAAGATCAATGCTTGGAAGCTTGGAAAAAAAGGTGGAAGTATGTGATAGTCGATTTACTGTATTGTCTGCTTGCCCTTTCTTAAGGAAAGGGCAATCCTATTTATGCTAAAGGAGTGTAGTTCTCTCATTTTCCAAGACTTTCCATGACTAACCAGGATTGGTAACTGTAGTCGACGTAAGAGAATCCCATAGAACCATCTCTTAGGTTTGTAGCCTATAGGAAGTAAAAGGAGGTCCAAGGTCAGAGTACCCCTATAGACAAATTATGTCATAGACAAATTATGTCATATACAAATTATGTCATAACTTAACCAATCTTGTGGGTAACTAAAGAGCGATGACATGTAATGAATCATAGAGGTTCGTAGGAGCTTTTAGAGCTATCGTTCATGCTCCTAGGCCTCTAGTTGGTAGAGATATGTCATGTGGTAGTATGAGTGATGTCATGTAATGAATCATAGAGGGTTGTAGAGATATGCTATGTGGTAATATCGGCCCAGTAACTAAGGAGCGATGACGTGTAATGAATCATAGATGGTTGTAGCAATCGTTGAGTAGTATTGCTCTTGTTGTTGGTGTGATAAGCCAAAATATGTATAGTGACTTGTAGGTTTGAGGAGGAGATTTCCAAGTTTGCCCTTGAGTTTGATAGCAAACTGAGTGCAACGAATGTCAGTATGACAAGTAGATTAGCTAACTCAAGTCTAGTATTAGTCTTAGAACCATGTGATGTACAAATGTCACAGGTAGGTAGGAAGTAGGAAAGGTTAGTTATAAGTCTATGTTAGGAGCGCCCTACTCTAGCAACCTATGCTACCTAAGGCTGCCATTAGGCTATAAGACTAGAAGATGACTCCTAGCCCTAACTCAAAACTAAGACAGTAGGGGCCTAACCCTAAAAGAGTAGATAAGGTAGCTAAGCCCCCCTTAGGAAGGGCTTAGAGATTAGTCTGTTAAATAGCACACTTATTGCTTAGGCCTCTGGTTATAGCACGTTGCCTACCTAAACGCTTATAGCAAAGGTCAAAGGCATTATTTGTAGTACTAGCGCTAGAGAGTACTTTGTTAGTTAAGAGTCATTAAATTGAGCTTCTTTAGAGGCATCTATAAAGTGGAAAGAGGTTAGCTTGAGTTGATAATCTAAAAAGGATGGATCCTAGAAAATATATTAAGATATCATAAATACTTGTGTATTGACTTAACAGATCAGGTGGAGTGGCAGTAGTGGTGTAGTGGTGGAAGTAGTGGAGTGGCAGTAGTGGTAGTAGTGCAGTACTACGCCAACAGCGGTGGTGTGGGGGCTGCCAATTCCTTGCATACATAGTAGGTACATCCCCTCCCATACACTCTTCGCAGCAAAGTAAAGTACTCCCAATGCCAAACTTTCCCTACTTTACCTCTTCATTGGCCACGGGGGTTATCTGGTATAGAATATGGGCAAAAGTTTTATATACCCTGCAAGTTCAATAATAAGTTTTATATACCCTGCTGATTCTTACTAAGCAGGAAACCACTTAACGCGCTCGACGCGTTTGAGTCCGTCGCGTTGCCTCCCTTGCCCCCCTTTTCCGTCGCCTTCGCCGTGGCCCCTTTTGCCGTCGCCGTCGCCGTCGCCCGCCTTGCCCTCGCCGTCCCAGCTGACTCGCCAGCTGCTGCCCTCATTAAGGCACTCGACGACTCTTCGGAAGCCCTCGTCACGAGGCATCGGAAGTCCTGAGCTCGGCTCAGGCCCACGAGGATGGCTTCTCTTGGCGAGCTGACCGTTCCTATGAACGGTCAGCTCTACCTCGACCTAGACGCCTGGTCGAGAGCCCTTAACGACTGGGCCGAATGAGGCCGTCGAAAGGAGCGACAGCGAGGGGCCGACGGCGAGGGGGCTACGGGGGGCTACAGGGGAGGGGGATTGGGGCGTTTTTACTGGTTGAAAGATGTTTCATTTTTCGCAGGGTATATAAAACTTATCACGTAAATTGCAGGGTATATAAAACTTTTGCCCATAGAATATTAAAGAAGTTCCTTAATATTTCAATTGACGATCTCCGACCTGAGAATATTCTGCTCGATCGTGACCGCCTAAAGCTTGCAGACTTTGACTGTACGGCCAAGCTCGGGTCAGAATTTGAAGCGTGCATTTCTCCATACGGAAGAATACTTGGGAACGAAGGCGGCGTCGACAAAGGCACTGCTGGCAGTCTCGGTCCTCGAACGGAACAATTTGCACTTGGCTCGTTGTACATACTATCTAATCAATTATGGATTTGAAGTCTACGGTGACCGTTGCTTAGGCGACGATCCATCTGGGAAGGAGCATGGACCTACCGTTGTGGACCTGCTACAGAAGAAGATTTTCCCAGAGCTTTACGGAGACCCGATGATCGACTCTATCATCAAGAAGTGCTGGCACGGTGAATATAAAACAATCGGAGAGTTGGCAGAAAACACATCAAGGCTCTGTGGTCCTGATAACAGGGCTTCGGACGCGATGTCTTCAGACGACCTTGCAACAAAGAGGGAACTGTGCGAGGAATTAGTTGGACAGGGGGTCCTTGAGGCGCTTGGTTCGAATGATCCTCGACAACGCAGCCGGCAAATTGAGCGTAGGTGGGTTAGCTGGGAATTTTTGAATGCTTGATATAGAAAGATGGCTGTTCTCGCAGGTTATATAGCTGTTTAACCTGCAAAAAAGGGTTTGGGGAACGATATGATACCATGGAAGGTCGGTTGGTTACTCTCGCCTTGGGCATATATCGCAATGAGCTGATAATATGTAGTTCTAGAGAGTTGGCACTAAAACATGCTTAATTTGCAGGATTTCATGATTTCGTTGTTTTCGCGTCTTGTGAAGTTGAGTTTTGAAGGTCCCAACTATCGAACATAAGCGCAGTACCTTCCAGCAACTATAATCCAAACCAAGCTCTTTTGTGCAAAAAGTATGCGCATTCTTTGATGTAATCAAAAGAACTTATACGTAAGCCAATACGTCCGCGTGTTAAGGTCACTTTTACCCATCCCGACGGCTTATTCCTATTTAGGCCTAATTTATAAGCGTTTCGAGTCCTAATTTCTTTGCCTTGATGTTGGCTATTCGTTATCCGCCATGCCATACAAACTGAGATATGTTCGCATGGACAAGGACGACCTTGCATGGGAGAAAGGCGACGAGGAGGCCGAGACATGGGAGAGGTCACTCAGCAAGGCAGAGACATACGCCATCGCCAACCTCATCAAGAAGTACAGGCCTGGCGAGGCCTCGGAACTTCACAGGCCGATCAGAGGGGGCTACAACATTTTCTACCGCCTGGAGTATAAGGATGGGTCGTCGGCGGCTATGAGGATCCCTTGCAAAAGTACCTATATAGATAGCATTTATGTCCATGCAGGAATTTACTAAACTAGAGCAGGTATTGTCAAGTTCCCTGAGGAGAAGGTTCGCTATGAGGTGGCCACGATACGGTATATTGCGGCGAAGACCACTATTCCGGTGCCTAACATCTACCACTTTGGAACTGCAGCCGAGAATCCCACCGGGCTAGGGCCATTCATCATTATGGATTATATTGAACATGACAGGACAATGTCTGACGCCCTTAACGACCCCACCCTTACGCCTGATGAGTCTCACGTCCTAGATCCCACTATCAGTGAGCAAAAGCTAGAGTTTCTCTACAGGCAGATGGCCAACATTGTCCTACAGCTGTCTACCTTAACGTTTCTTCGAATAGGGTCCTTGGTCCAGGATAATGACGGACAGTTTTCCGTGTCTGGGAGGCCTCTCATCCAGAATATGAACTCCCTACTAGAGTTCACAGGGTTCACTCCAACCCTACTGCCATCCCAACAGTACTCTAGCTCCGACGAGTGGTATTCGGCCCTGGCCGATATACATCTAGCACAGCTAACGTTCCAGCATAACGATGCTGTTCTAGATGAGGACGATGCGCGGGACAAATACGTCGCTCGTCAGCTATTTCGGCGGCTCGCATCGGATGGGCGACTAGATTCCGGATTTGAGATGAAGGACAACCGTAACAGTGCATCCAAATTCCGACTGTACTCTGAAGACCTACGTCCGTCGAATGTCTTGATTGATAAGGACCTCTGCGTGGTCGGTGTCATAGACTGGGAGTTCGCCTACGCTGCACCAGAACAGTTTTCCTTCGATCCTCCTTGGTGGCTTCTGTTGAAGAGCCCAGAATACTGGCCCAGCGGTTACACACCCTGGATGGAAGCGTACGAACCTCGTCTCGAGACTTCCCTCCGCGTCTTGGAAGGCGAAGAGACGAAGATACGGGCTAGCTCCGAAATCGCCGGAGGTATGGCGAGTCTGTCCCTGTCTCTTTCACAGCGGATGCGAAAAAGCTGGGAGAGCAAGACGTGGATGATCAACTATGCAGCTAGGAACAGCTGGGCGTTCGATTTCATATTTTGGAGGTTCTTAGATGCCAGGTATTTTGGGCTCAATGAGGAGACGGATTACCACGCGAGACTGGGCCTTCTAACCCAGCAGGAAATAGAGGCGATGGAGCCTTTCGTCAAGATGAAGCTGGAGGAGGGTAAGGAACGGATTCTGGTTCTGTGGGATCATGAGAGCGCGGCAGACCAGTTAGCCAAAGTCATGGTCTGAAGTCGTGCTCAGTAGAAGCAAGCTGGTATGTCGGCTTTCCCGGGCAGTTGGGGTCCCGTTTGACTTAATCGGAATGCTAAAGGTCTTGGCCAGCCACGGAAGTATTGCATCAACCTTCTTGCCAGCTGGCTTGAACCGCTCTCATCACGATATGAGAAGGTAATGGCGAGGGTGCTGGCAAAAGTGCGTAGTCTGAATTGGAAGTCGAGGCACTAGAATGATTTAGTGCTGTCGGCAGGAAAATACAGTCATTGTCCTATCAGTTGTTGAGACAAAGGGCATGGGGAAATTCAACACAATTATATCAAAGATGCGAGTTGATGTTATAACAATTGTTCCTGTGGTTGAAAGCAAGGGGTTCGCTAAGCTGTGAACCTTCCATAACTTATGTTGAGGTCAATCCACCCTTTAAGCTTCAGCGCGCCTTGCCTTGGGGGGATCTTGGTCATATCAGATCCTCCCACTGACACATCTCTGGAATCGTCTTTAACTTCGAGGTCTCGCTCTTTCTTTTCTGGTCGTCGCAGCATATTTATCATGTCGTCGGCACACGCTCCTAACTTCTCTGATAATGCTGAGTCGACGGGGATGCTGTGGATTCATGTTGCGTTCCCGTTGACTTTCATTGCGGGCGTTCTTGTGGGAATTCGTTTCTGGTGGAGGTATAGCCAGACTGGTTCTGTTGGGAAGTCTGACTGGTGTGTTCTTGCTGCGCTGGTGAGAATTGCCCCCGAAAAGATTGTATAGACCTATCGTAACGAGTCTCTAGGTAAATGCATTTATCCAACTAGCTCTTGGAGCCGTTGGTTTGTTGCATCTTTCTCTTGCTTGCCGTTGAACGAAATCTGACAGCTCATTTAGCAATGCTTCGGTGGGGTTTTGGCCACCACGTTCAGTACCTGATCAAGCATAATGGCATCAAATATGTTCAGATGTCGGGCATGGTAAACAACCCTTCTTTTAATTCCGTAACCTCCCTCTGACAGCGCCAGTACTTCTACATCTACCAAATCTTCTACAAAATGCTCGTCTCCTTCACCAAGCTCTCCTTCCTCTACCTCTACCTCGACATCTTCACCGGCCACCCCCGCTTCCGCACCATCTGCCAGCTAACAATCTACTCCGTCTGGGCGGCCCTCATCGCCTTCACCCTCGCCACCACCTTCCAATGCGATCCCATCAAGTTCAACTGGAACAATACCATCAAGGGCGGGCACTGCTTCAAGGCCTCGCCCTTCTGCTACGCCCACGCTGGCTGGAACACCGCTTTTGACATCTTTGTCTTTCTGCTTCCCATTCCCGTCATCCGCAGTCTACAAATTGGACGGAACCAAAAAGCCGCCTTGATGGGCGTTTTCATCCTCGGAGCCTTGTACGTCCCCCTCCCAGCCCTACCCATCCCCCCACCCCCCTTTCAAAGCTCTAATAAACACCACACTAACCCCCCTCCCCACAGTGTCTGCATAACCTCCGTCATGCGCGTAATCTTCCTCGACATCGCCGCCAAAACCGTCGCCGACGATATAACCTTCAGCACCAACCGCGCCTTCCTCTGGACACACATCGAGTCCTGCGTCGGCATCATCAGCGCCTGCCTCCCCACCCTCAAAGCGCCCATCTGGCGCGTCCTCCCCAAACTCTTCCCCTCGTCCTGGCCCAGCCGCGACCGCTACAATCTCAAGGACGTGACGAAGGGGTCTGCGGCAGCGGCGGGGAATGGGGGGTTGAAGGATGGCAGTGTATTGGAGGGGAGTAGGGCGAGGGATTCGGATGGGGATACGCAGGGGAGTCAGGAGCAGATTATGGGGATTAAGAAGACGGTTGATGTGAGGGTTGTGAGGGGAGAGGGGGTGGAGGAGGAGGAGCAGCAGCGGAAGCGGAGGGTAAGGAGGGATCGGTTTGGGGAGGCGGTGTAGGGTCTCAGGGGCTGTGGCGCTGGTGCGTAAGACTTTGTTTCTTGGGCTGGTGGGGTAGGGCGGAGGTTTTTTGGATAGAACGGTTGAAAGGGGGGGTTTAGAGTGTATATCCCATAAATCGAAAAATGTCGATTGTGTAACTAGCAGGGAGAATACAATGGGTGTTTTATGCCATCTTCGAGCATTTTTTGCTGCGTCCCACTAACGATTCTATCTATCGTCTAAAGCTCCATCGCAAAGGCCCGTGATCTTCCCATTTCCCCCGAGATTACTATCATCCCGGCCTATGCACCAGCCTGTGCGTTGCTGCTACCTTCATCGCTTTGGCACTTTCTCTTGCAGCAGCGGAGTTCTAACTCGAGCAGGGCTCCTAGCCTTCGTGCCATCTCTGCCTTATTATTTCAAGTAATGTAAGGGATCCGTGTATCCTTTCCATGCACTTACGCAAACCCTCGGGGCACGCCACCTGGTTACGGCCACTCCTCTCGTAAACGTATTAGGACGTCCGACCCACGTCGTGGCCACGCGATGCATCCACTCCCCCCCAGGCTTCGTCGCAATGAAACCACATCCCCTGTACGACCTGGCCCCATCTCCTTCATCACCCCCACCCCCATCCTACCTCCCCAGCCCCCCAACCACCGCCCCAACCATAACAGCAACCTCCCTCTCCCACTCCGCCATCCGCCTCTCATCTCTCATCTTCCCCGCCCCACTCGGAACCTGACACCCCCTCGCCACCGCCTCCGCCACCATATCCCTAACCGCATTCCTATTACTCTTCAGCGTCCTCGCCTGCATGCCCCCCGCCTTAACCAGCTCCTGCACGCGCGGCGACAGCGCCGATGCAAGGCTACGCCAAAAATAGCTGGTGAGACTATTCGTCTCTAGCGCTGCTAGTACCGGGACGAGGAAATTTGGTGGCGTGGAGAGCGAGGGGAGGGTGGGGGCTTTGAGGGAGGAGAGCAGGAGTTCGAGGGCGACGAGGTTTTGGCACCGGGAGGAGACGAGGAGGAGTGCGTCGTCGAGGGTGCGGAGGACGCCGAGGGCGCGGATTATGGAGGTTGTGGAGGTGGTGAGGGCGACGCGGAGGTACTCTTGGATGGATTGTACCATCCACTCTGCTTCGAATCTTATGCTCTTCCCTCTCTTCGGTGGTTGTGGGGAGAGCAGGTAAAGCGTCTGTAAGGCGGAGGTGGCGCGGGACTTTGCGTCCTCAGCTTGTGCGTAGGTGCTGCCGGAGCCGGTGAGTGTTGACATGGAGAAATCCCGCACGACTTGCTGGGCTTTGGCGTGAAGTGATCGTTCAGCTGGTGCGATCAGTTCGCGCTGTAAGGCGGCGATGGCGTGGACTTTCTCTAGGTTCTCCCCCTCTTCGCCGGGGCCATTAGCGGCTAGCAGCGCGCGACAGGAGAGAATTGTGTTTGAAGCGCGGACAGTGGAGCGGTGGTCATCGCGGGACTGGGCGTTACGGGGCTGCTGCTCGGACATCTGGACTTCGAGCTGGCGACCTAGTTGGAGGGCGCGGCCGACAGAGCGACCTAGGCGGACAGTGTGCCATAGGCGCTCGGAGACGCGTTGGACTTCTTCAGCGGCTTCGTGGCGCGAGATGACTTCCTGCTCGAGGCGTTTGTAGGAGTCGTTTAGGGAGGCTGCTTGGGAGGAGAGTTCGCTGACGATGTGTTCTGAGGCGTGTGCTTGGGTTTCGGTGTGCGAGAGGAGGGGGAGGGCGGAAGCGGAGGTGAGGGTGTGGATGTGGGAGTCGACTTCTTGGATGTCGAAGAGGACGCTGGAGAGGGGGGTGGAGAGGTCGAGGGGGGAGTCGGTCGCGTTGTTGGTGGTGAGGACGAGGGTGTTGGCGAAGGCGGGGGCGGAGAAGGAGGGATCGAGGAAGAGCTCGTAGTCGATGTAGGAGGGGTCGGAGGCTTCGGCTGAGTTGTTGGAGGTGGTGGCCATTGCGACTGCTGGTTGTGGTAGTGGGATTATGCTACACTGGCTTTGGCATTATGGTGAAGTCGCAAATGGTGAGTGCGTTGATACTGTGACTGTGTTAACTAGCCACTAAGTTATATCAAAGATTTGTGAAGCCGTCACAGAGAGCACCGGATGGATTGTTTCGCCGCGATCCGTAAGTTTATGGGAAGCTTGGACCATGGATCGGTGCGTCATGGCTCAAGTCCAAATGGTTTTGTTAGTCCTTAACTAAAAACTGGGACTGTGTCCGAACCTTGCAACTTCATCAACAAATCCCTCCAGCATATCATTATCACCCATAGATCGGCCCCCAGCTCGAGAAATGTGCTCAATCGAGGAGTGAATGCGATTCTAAGCGCGAGCCGACACTCATCCGCGCCTCCGAAGCTCTCCCACCATCACGATGCCTCTCTTCGACGCACGCGACGTCCTCTCCTTCCCCGGCGGGAACAACGCCAGCGACACCGTCATCGCGGGTATAAACTTCAATCTCACAACTCTCCAGCACTGGAACTACACCCTCTACTCTAACGGCACGCTCTCGAATAATTCGAACTGCTTCCTGACCTTCGAGTCATACACCCCCCACCTCCTCCCCAACGGCACATTCCTCAACACAACATCATGCTATAGCCCCTTGAACGGACTCGGGAACCGTGCGAAGCCCGGTATTGCTCTAGGCGTTTTCTTTGGTCTCAGCCTTGTCTTCACAATGATCAACCTGCGCAAGCACGGCAGGCTCTTCCTGCCATCTGAGAAGAGGTTCCACGCCATCGGACGCCGCTGGCAATGGTACTGGATGCTCTGGGTGGCAGGGTGTGGGATGGCCAGCGGCTTCACCAGCGTCGATGTCGACCGCTACTACCTCCCCGAGTGGCCGCTAATCCTCAACTCCATATTCTGGTACCTGATGATTCCCAGCACACTGGCCATCGTGTGGGAAAGCGTGCGCCACTGGGGCAGTTGGCAAGAGCGCCAACTCATCGACCCAGACCCCTTCATACTAAGCCAAAACGATAAAAGAGGCCGGAGGGAATTCTATATGCCCCTCGTCTTCTACGGCTTCGGTTTCCTCGTGAGTCCCCTAACCTGACCCCTACACCCACCCACCCCCAAGTCGGAAAAAAACACCCCACTAACACCCCCCCCCAGCACTTCTTCATGGCCGTCCCCCGCAACTGGACACCAATCTCCTACCAACGCTCGCCCTCCCAATCCCTCCAAGTTGCCGCCCCCCAAGCCACAGACGGCCGCTTCAAAGCCGGCGCCATCTTCCTCTTCTTCGCGTGGCTCACGATCCTCTTCTCCCTCGCCCACTCCATGCACTACTACACCCCCCGCCCCTCCCTCCTGCGCACCCTCGCCTCCACCCCACCGGCTTTCCTCCTCACCCTCCCGCTCTCTCTCACGATCGTAGCGTACCAATTCCTCGCCGCTTTCTCGTTTGCGCATAGCCCGCTCAACCTCTCCGCTTCCCCGGCGATAATTTATTCCTTGGGCTGGGCGCCAATCGTGCTTATCTTCATCATCTACGAGGTGGCTGGGTACACGTACCCCAACGAGGACCGCGAGCTGATCCGCCAGCGCCGCCTCCGCGGCCAGGAACTCGATAGGGAGATGGGGTATAACCGCAAACCACCCTGGTGGCGCCGTCTCAACGGTAACCACAACCTGACTGTCCAGCAAGCCCTAGCGAGGAACGCGCAGGAAGTCAGCGGTGCCCCAAGGGCCGCAGATTGGTCAGCAAAGGACGACGTAGAAATGTCCCCCCTCCCCTCAAAACGCAATGCCGAACGCGAGGTGCGGATTGACAACACCCCCGCTGGCCGCGCCTTAGCGCGCCACGAGAGTCGCAGGGAGGCAGAGCTGGATGAGCGGGTGCGAGAGGCTGCTATGGCACTATTCACGCCGCCTGTAGAGAGGAAGAAGACGGATATTGCGTATTTGATGGGGGATGATATGGATGGGAGGGGGGGGCCGGGGGCGGGGACGGGGGTGGCGTGGGATGAGTGTGGAAGGAGTGGGAGTACGGGGAGTGTGGCGTCGGGGACGACGATTGTGGGGGGCGAAGCCGCAGGTTGTTAGGAGTATGTTGGATATTTAGGGTAAAGGTAAAAAAGGGGGGGGGGCGGGGGTGGGGTTTGGTTGGGATTGGTTTGGGGGTTGGATACTGGGATAATATGGTATATGGGATGGGAATAACTAGATACACCTCGGCGGTTACGGGCATGGGGCTCGAATTCGCTCTTTTAATATATATTTATGCACATACACCTGCACTTTCATCCTTCCGAGCAGTAGTTGTGTATATATTTCCTCTCTTCAAACAAAATCTAAGCTGTTTTGGATATGCTGAAAATAACTGAGTTATACCTCCCCCCTTTCTAAGTGTAAGAAACATCAACACCCACACCCATCACGTCCACATGTCCCCGCCCGCAGCGGTACAGTCTAAGCGCCCCCCTCAACACTCTCCATCCTCTCCCCGCCCCCCTCCCCCTCAACATCCCTCATCAACCATCCCATCATCCCCCACACAGCCCCCATAGCCTCAACCCTCTCCTCCGCACTAAAAAGATCCCACCACCTACTCCTCCACACCGTCACTCCCCCCCCTCCCCATCCCCCCCTTTACACCCTGGCCCAACCCCATCCCCCCCCTCGACCCCGTCAAGGCCCTCCAGCCCCACCAACACCCCCCTCCCAACCCGCAACCGCGAAATAGCAACATGGTGATTCAAACAGCTCACCAAGAAGACATCATCCCACTCCGCGCCGGGCTGCCGGCCGATACACTGATATCGCGCCTTCCGGTCCCAGGTCGTGGAGGGGGGGCGGAGCTGGCGGTATGCGTCGTACAGGGAGGCTGTTTTGCGGGTTGGGCGGCGTTTTGGGGGAGGGCGGGGGCCTGTAGAGGAGGGGGTAGGGAGGTCTAGTGCGGGTTTGGCAGCGGTTGTAGGGGTAGCGGCGGGAGTTAGAGCAACAGCCATACCCTCTTCCTTCCCGATTGGGCCGCCTGGTCCGCCGCCCCAGCGCGGTTTGAAACACCACCATTTCGCCGGGTCGGCGGGGTCGTGTTTTATTTCCTCCCTGCCTTCGCGGTTGCGCTGCTGAGCTGCTACGAAGAGCGCAGCAGTTTCGCGGGCGAGATCGAGGAGCTCATCGAGGGGTTTGTCGAAGGATGTAGCGTGGCGCGCGGACAGAGCGGCGAGGGGTCCCTCGATGATGCCGCCGCGGGCGGAGAGGCAGTCGGATGGGGTGCGGTAGATGAAGGAGATGTTTGTAGGAAACGAGGATGGCGGGGAGGAGTTGGGGAATGTCGAGTTTGGGGGGGGTGAGACGGAGGGACCGATGTGGAGACGTGGTTCGACGCGGGGGAGGGAGACATTGCAGCTGAAATCGTAGGCGACGAGTTTGACGAACGTGGCGAGCAGGGCGGCGCGGAAGTCGGGAGGGGTTTGGGAGCCGGTGCCGGAACGGATGTGGATGCGTTGGTGCGCGGGTTCGGGGTCGGCGAGCGGTTCGGGCCCGGAGAGGGAAGTGTCGACCCAGAATCCGGAGATGAGCTCGAGGTTCTTGAAGAACTCGTAGGCGTTGCCGAGGCGGGCCGGGGGGGTGGAGGGGAGGCGGCGCACGGTGCGGAAGGCTGCGGAGTTGGGGGTGGAGAGTTCTTTCATGCGCTCGTTGTAGGTGGCGCGGCCGGGGGCGGGGCGGCCGTTGTTGAGCGGGGGAGGTGGGATGGGGGGGGTGTCGTCGAGGTCGTCGGCGTCGGTGTCGGAGGAGGTGGGGAGCGGGGTGGACCAGGAGGAGGGGGGGAGGAAGGAGGGGTCGGGCAGGAGGGAGGTAAGGGGCGCGTTGGGGATGATGTGTAGCCCGAGGGCTTCGAAGTGTGTGAGTTTTATGTCGGCGGGCCGCTGGATGCCGCGGATGTAGGTGCGTAGCGGGATGTCTTTCCGGTGGGGGTGGCGCGGTGCCCGGGGCGCGAGGGAGGAGAGAGGGGAATCGGACGGGTGTCGGGGGGGGGATCTCATGCGGTTGGCTTGGTTCGGCTGGTGCTGCTCCTGGAGGACCTGTGGTATGAAACGTCAGATGGGTGCCAAGCGCGTTTTGAGGGAGCGCGGATGCAGTATGCCCGCTGTATCCGGTGGACGGATGCGGAATTGAGGCTATGCGACGGGGAATCCCGCCGGAGATGGAGAGGAGCGCTGCGCGATACTTCATGGAGACAGACGATGGGTGAGTGCCGCACGAACTGGAGGCCATGGGGGAAGGGAGGGGGCCAGGGCACACCAGAAGCCGGGCGAGCAAGCCACGAATAGATGGTCACAGAACGGATGAACTCTGGGGAGTACCCTTATGTCTATGAATGCTATGGACGCGCATTTATAGGCTGAAGGGCGGATGTAGAGACAGTAGACAGAGGTTGGTATGACATACCTGGAGCGGCTCTGGCTCCCGCGCTGGCAACTTGGAGTATAACCACCGCTGAACATGGCTGCCAGAGATTGGCTGGCAGGATGGAGAAAGATAAGAGAGGCAATAGAAATGTTTTGTCTATATCATGTCGAGTAGCTGTGAGTATATGGTATAACTATAGTATATATAGCTAGGGAAGAGACGTCGTTGAATGTTTTTGAGGGGGGGATGTTTGTTGTAGTTCGAGAGTGTGGGGTTGGGTGGCTGGCGTTGGTGTGGTATGGCCCCATAGACACTAAGGTGACAACACCTGTATAGTGGGACGATAGTGGAAGGATAGTAAAGGACCGTATAGGCACAGGACTGGATAGTTGGGGAGAATAACTCCGTCCGGGACACCGGTTCACATCCGGGGACGCACGAGAATGCCAGATAGGGCAATTTGGTGTAATATATGCTGTGCGATGTTGTGCTGTTCCGACGCGGTTGTAGACGGGGTATTAAGAATCGCACAAGCGCTTGCTTAGCACTTCATTTACCTGTCGTAGGTTTTAGTTCTCTGCTTTTAACAATGCTAATTAATGCATTATACAATGCACCCTTTGCAAACTAGTTAACAGCTGTATAGATTAAGGTTAGAGAGCTATTTTAATGATGCGCAATTGTGATGAGGCTTTAGTTGGGTTATTTAGTGTCTAAGAAACCTATGGTTAAGCGGTGTTTAGGTGAGAGGTTGGAGGTGTTAGCGTTCTAAACCTTAAGATCAAGTGTAGATATTACACCCTTAGGGTTGAATGGGAGAAGTCTAGCACCTTGGAAGCTTCCTTAAATGTTGCTTTCTGTCATTACAATGTTAAATGTAGCATGGAAGGCAGGAAAAGAAGTCATCCTTAGTAATGTGAATAATATAACGTACATGTATAGCGAAAGCGCCAAACAAGCGAAAGCGCCAAAATGATGCGGTGACCAAACCCCCAACTAAATGTTAAATTCCTCAACAACAAAACATGCCCCATAAAAACGATGAAAGCCAATTAGTGCTAGCTATCCAGGCTATGCAAAGCGACCCAAAGTTACGCCTTCGAGTTGCTGCTAGGATCTATTCTGTGGACCACCGCAAGCTAGGTCGTCGTCTAGAAGGTGTACCTTCACGACGCGATATCCAAGCCAACTCACGGAAATTAACTAACCTAGAGGAGTACGTCCTTGTTCAGTATATACTCGACCTAGCTGCCAAAGGGTTTCCTCCTCGGCTGTCTGTTGTTGAAGATGGCAAGTCGACTACTTGCAACACGCGACGCGTCACGCGTTGGGTCGCGTTGGGCTTCAAACTTTGTTAAGCGGCGTGTAGAGCTCCAGACACGCTTTCAGCGCAAATACGACTACCAGAGGGCTAAGTGCGAAGATCCAGAAGTTATTAATGGCTGGTTTGAGCTTGTGCGTAACACAATTGCGAAATATGGTATCGATGAAGCAGATATCTACAACTTTGATGAGACTGGGTTTATGATGGGCGTTATCTCAACTGCTATGGTTGTAACAAGCTCAGACGGGCGGGCAAAAGCAAAGAAGGTACAGCCTGGTAATCGGGAATGGGTTACAGTAATCCAAGGCGTTAGTTCTCAAGGTTGGGCAGTACCACCATTTATCATTGTTGCAGGCAAAAACCACCTTACATCTTGGTATGAGAATAGTGGATTTTCAAGCGATTGGGTGATTTCTGTTACTGAAAATGGCTGGACTACAAACGAGAGAGGCATGGATTGGATTCAGCACTTTGAGAAGCATACAAAGGCCC